ACCTGGAATCCATCTTGCCATTCTGGGTATCAATACAAACTGTAAGCAATGAATCGGGGCTTCAACGCCTCACTCCAGGACCCCTGCGACCAACTACGACTCCCTAGGCCCGTGGTCGGCAAACTGCAGCTCGCGAGCCACATGCGGCTCTTTGGCCCCTTGAGTGTGGCTCTTCCTAAGCCTTACGAGTACCCTAATTAAGTTAATAACAATGTGCCTACCTATATAGTTTAAGTTTAAAAAATTTGGCTCTCAAAAGAAATTTCAATCGTTGTACTGTTGATATTTGGCTCTGTTAACTAATGAGTTTGCCGACCACTGCCCTAGGCCCTTGCAGCCAAATCCAGTGACTTCTAGAGTACAGATATTTTATTTCTCAAGTTGGTGCCCAGCCCATGTCCCCGCAATGGCCAGACTGCACTCACCACCTCTCCCTTCCTCCTTCTCCTAAGGCTGACCACATGTTCTGGCAGCTGACCTTCTCCTTCCAGTTTGTGACAGAGAAAATAATCCCAGTTTCCCATCTGACATGGGCTTCTGGCACCTAGCTCCTTCCTATGTCCCAGATGTATAGGTGGTGCTCCTACTTGCCTCATCAATCCTTCCCGATTGTGTTTTATCTGTCCTAGGCCTACTACCAAAGCTCAGTGCATGTGGGTTTAAAGAGATGTGCCTCTCTTTTCACCCAGAGACTTGGTAAGAATAGAAATCCATTCTATTGCCAGTCTCTCTCCCTTCCCCCAGGCAGTGTGACCATTTGAAAGAGAAGCCTTCACAGCACCCAGCCCAGTTACCCAACCGATGGCCCTCAGCCAGGTCCTCCTTGGGACTCAGTTTCCTCCTGGGTGAAAGGAGACCATACCTGCCTTGCAGTGTCCTCATTGTAGATCATTACTGAAGGGGCTGGCCCAAAGTAATATGAGACCTTTTTTTCTTTCCCTTTCTTAATATGAGACCTTAATATGAGACCTTTTTTTCTTTCCCTTTCTTATTGAGTTTACCCTTTGGCAACGTAACAGCTGTTTTTTGGTGTGATTGTTTTAAGTCTCAGAGTCTTCAAATGTTTCTCTCACCAAGGTAGCTTAGGCCTCATTTTCCTCACCTGTAAAATGAGGAGGCCTTGGCTAGCCCGTGGTCGGCAAACTGCGGCTCAGGAGCCACATGTGGCTCTTTGGCCCCTTGAGTGCGGCTCTTCTTAAGCCTTAGGAGTACCCTAATCTAATCTAATAAAAGACAAACATGCAAATTGACTGTACCTTCGCTATGCCTTAAGCCACGCCCACCATCCCATCAGAGCGACTAACCCAACCAAGATGGCGGCTGGCAGCCACAAAGCTGAAGCGAGCAGGAGGCTTGGTTGCCCCAATGATGGAGGAAGCCAAGCTTCCCAGCCGGCTCTGAGCTCCACTGAAGGCAACAAAGTTTCAATTATAGAAGATAAATAAACTCCAGATACCTGCTTTCAGCCGGCTATTGCCATGGAGCTGGAGCGAGCAGGAGCTGGCTCTGAGCTCCACTGAAGGCAACAAAGTTTCAATTATAGAAGGTAAATAAATCCCAGAATAAAAAAGAAAAAGAAAAAAAGGAGAGGCTGGGAGCTTCCGTCGCCGGGGCGCTTGGCCAGCCTGAAAACAGCCCTCAGCCCCTCACCCAGACTGGCAAGGCACCCCAGTGGGGACCCCCACCCTAAAGGGGGTGTGGCAAGCCTGCAAACAGCCATCAGACCCTCACCCAAGCTGGCCAAACCTCCATGGGGTGAGGGTCCCCACTGTGGGGGGCTTGACCAGCCTGCAAACAGCCATCAACCCCTCACTCAGGCTGACCAGGCACCCCAGCGGGACCCCCACCCTGATCTGGGACACCCTTCAGGGCAAACCAGCTGGCCCCCACCGGTGCACCTGGCCTCTAGCCTATATAATAAAAGGTAATATGCAAACTGACCCTAACTGCAGAAAGACTGGGAATGACTGGTCACTATGACACACACTGAACACCAGGGGGCAGACGCTCAATGCAGGAGCTGGCCCCTGGTGGTCAGTGCACTCCACAGAGGGAGCTCTGCTCAGCCACAAGCCAGGCTGATGGCTGCCAGTACAGCTGTGGTGGTATGAGCCTCTCCCACCTCCTCAGCAGCACTAAGGATGTCCAACTGCAGCTTAGGCCTGCTCCCCGCTGGCAAGTGGACATCCCCCGAGGGCTCCTGGGCTGCCAGAGGGATGTCTGACTGCCAGCTTAGGCCCAATTCCCCAGGGAGTGGGCCTAAACCAGCAGGTGGTCATCCCCCAAGGGGTCCCAGACTGCGAGATGGCACAGGCCAGGCTGGGGGACTCCCTGTCCCCCTAGTGCACAAATTTTTGTGCATCAGGCCTCTACTTAAGTTAATAACAATGTACCTACCTATATAGTTTAAGTTTAAAAAATTTGGCTCTCAAAAGAAATTTCAATCATTGTACTGTTGATATTTGGCTCTGTTGACTAATGAGTTTGCCAACCACTGGGCTAGACGATCTCTCAAGCTCCCACCAGTCCACACTTTCTCTGATCATAATTGCTCAATGTGCCTCCTTGAAATATTGGGAAATAAGGATTATTTGCCTTATGAGACTAGAGTGTCTTTTTCCTACCCAAACTGTGGCACTCTAAATGCATTAGCCCAGAGATGCCATGGAAATGGCCTGAGGCTGCCCTTCCTTAGAATACAGGGCCAGGGCACACGTGTGAGCAACCGCTGCTGTAGCCTGGTGCAGAATGGGGCTGAGGCTGAGGAGCCTGCCTGGCTTCCCCTCAGTTTAGCCTTGTGCGTGCAAGTCTGCTGCACACTCAACTCTGATTATTTTATTTGTAAAATGGAGGTAGGACGGGGTGAGGAAAATTTTGAACTGATGTTTTTAAGTTGTCTTTACAATACAAAAGCAATGAAAACATATAAAATTAGGAAAATAGATATTAGGGTAAAAGTCAGCCACCCAGCATTGTTATGTTTCTAATTCAATTATTATTATTATTTTGGTCCTCTTTTTTTTCATTTGCAACCCCAGTGGCTATGTAATTTGTGTTTGTTTTGGGAGGCTTTGTTTTATTTCTTTTTGTTGTTGTTGTTGTTTTTACTTAATATTGTCATACAGTTGTATAGGCTGCTTCATAATCTTTGCAATCACCACATATAATGCCTATTGCTTTTGCCATTTCATTTGTCTTTTGGTTTGTTTGTTTTTTATATATTTTTATTGATTGCAGAGAGGAAGGGAGAGGGAAAGAGAGATAGAAACACCAATGATGAGAGAGAATCATTGATTGGCTGCCTCCTGCATGCCCCCTACTGGGGATTGAGCCCACAACCCGGGCATGTGCCATTGACTGGAATCGAACCCAGGACCCTTCAGTCTGCAGGCCAATGCTCTGTCCACTGAGCAAAACCAGCTAGGGCTTGGTTTGTTTTGAAAGTTAAAGACAATTTTTCATTTCATTATTTATAAATATAAGACTACATTACATTGCATATATATATAATAAAGATGTAATATGCAAATGGTTGTTACGTAATGACCGACCGCATAATGACCAGGTCACAGATCAGCAGGAGGGTGGGGCAGTGAGCTACAAGCGGGCAGCAGAGAGCTACAGGAAGGGGCAGGGCAGCAAGCCAATGGGGGTTGGGGGAGGGCAGACTAGGAAACTAAAGGAGGGCGGGGCAGTGGGCAGAGAGCTACAGGAGAGTGGCAGCAAGCTACTGGCACACGGATTCATGCACAGGGCTACTAGTATATATATATATGTTGTATATAGGTATATAGGTATGTGTGTTTCCATGGGAATAGTGTCTCAAGAATAAATTCTCAAGAATAGAATTATTACCTCAAAAGATTTCATTATTTTCAAAGCTTTTGGTGTATGTTGTTGAATTGCTGTCCAAACAGGCTGCACTGATTTACAATATCATCAGCAGTTACCCATTTTGCCGCCTCTTAATCAAAATTTACTATTATAATTTCAAGTTTTTAGAGATTTAATAGGCAAAGCAGTTTCTAATAGTTTTCATGTGCATGCCATTGATTGAGGAAACTAATCATCCTATATAATAAAGAGCTAATATGCAAATTCTCATCACACCCTCATGCCATCACGCTGTGATGCCCTCATGCTGTCACAATCCATCACCAGGAGGCTGCGTGAGCAGGGTGGGCGGGGACCTGATGCTGCGTGCACGGTCCAGAGGCAGGACCCCTGGCTCCAGACTACCACTTTGGGACAATCCATCGAGGAGCCCCGGATGGGTGGGCAGGGCCTACCTCTTTGGGGCGATCGATCACAGGGCTCCCGCACTGTGAGAGGGCACAGGCCAGGCTGGGGGACACCCCCCTGAGGGCACAAATTTTGTGCACCAGGCCTCTATTTTTTCTATAATTTTTTATTCCTCCTTCTCCATAGGCCCACATGATTTCTGAGACCCTTTCAGCCTCATCCTCTAACATTTTAAGGCTGGCAGCTTCTAAGAAAGCAGAGGAAAATCACAAGATTGCAGGAATCAGACAGGCAACTAGATGGAGATCTATAACAGTGTAAATAACAGTGTGAAGAGTTTAACAGAGGGAGGCAGAGAGGAAAACCTGTAGTGATAACTGAAGAATACCTAAGGAGGAATTCTGGCTACATTTAAAGGGGATATATTCCCTCTTCTGTGGGATTTCAGCAGCTTTATTTGCGGTGGAAATAATGCAGTTGCTGCTTCTTTTGTGGAATTAAAGGTAGAGTGATGTTGGCATTATTCACACTGGGACCCTGTTCTAGGGCTGGCCTTAGGGATGGAGACTGATACCTTCCTTAGCAGATAGGGTGTAGCAGTTTTTTCTGTATCTCATAGGTATGTTTAAGGTAGTTGAATTGATCTCCTTAGCAACAAGTAACTGGCTTAATCAAAAGGTTCATAAAAACCCATAACCCTCAAAAACTGGCAGCTTATCAGTTGTACCAGGAATTCATCTTTCCTTTAATATACTTACTTCAATTTTTCCCATGTCTCTTCACCAAATTTCTCTATTAGAAGAGATTGCAGACAGGTGTTGATAAATCCGTACTAGAACATAAAACGAGAGGAAAAGCATGGGTAATGAAGCATAAAATCCTCAGTCCCTGGCATTGGAGTGGCCCCTTTACCACAAGGGCAATGGTATCCTCTTGGGGGAAAAATTACACCTTTTCCCTATTTCTCATGATTTTTCTTCTTTAATAGCTGTGCTCATTCCTGACTTGGGCAAAAGTCATTTCCACAGAGAAAACATAGCAACTAAATTTGAAATCAGATTAGAATTAGAAGTGGTTCATTGTGATCACCTCCAACATAGGAAATTATATGGCCAGAACAAGTTAAAAAACACAACAGGGGCAAAACGGGTGCTCTGGGTGGGGACAACAAGGTCACTCACCTCATATCAACTCAAAAAAGGCCGTGAAAGGACAATTTTCTTTATGGGTGTGTGTGTGGAGGTCGACATAAAAAGTGGAGGAAAATAAAGAAGAGAAAACAACAATAAAGAGCCCTGGGTTAACAGGGAGCATTTTCTATTAGGATTGCTCATTAATCCGTGGGGCTCCTCTCTCCCTCCAGATTAAAACAAAATTGTTAAGAGCGCCCATAAATGCCTCTGCTTAGTGAAGGGCAGGCCCACCCACGCAGGCCACGCCTCTTGCCACACACAGGAGCCCCCAACCTAGGGGCTTGTGGGTGATTGGGTTACATTTGGAAGTACCAAGGGAGCTCAGTTATCTTCAGAAGTGAAGAATCCTTCGGTCTCACAAATATCAGGCTCAAGATTTATAAGTCTGGACGTTCATATATGAGGATTTCTTAAAGGGAAAGAGGCCAATGCCAACAGGAAGGAGAGGGGCCTAAACTCTAGCAGCTCTTTCCTGGGAACAGAATATATGCCCCCCCTTCCCCCGCCCCTTGAAGGGGAGATGACTTGTGGGTGTAAGTCTTCACCCCTCTCCCCATCTTTTCTTGGCTCCACCTGCCCCCATGTGTGACCCATTTACAAAATCACACCCTTGCCTGAGATTTTCAAAGCGCTCTCTAGAACTGTCTAGGACTCTAACTGCTCAGCCCTTCTGTGTTGTCATCACCACAAGATTATTCTGTTAAAATATCATATGAACCTTCTTTTCTTCCTTTCTCTCTTTCTACTTATTTATCTATCTACACATGAACCAATACACACACATATGTAAAAGTAATATATATAATATATATAAACAATGTTATATATAACATATACTGGTTTTACATATAAATTCTTTCCCTCCCCTTTGCTGAATTACAAGTTTCTTGGGGTCAGGAAGTGGATGTAATTTATCTATTATTTTGACTACTGTGCCAAGACAGTGCCTGCGACATAGCAGGTATTTAATAAATGAATAAGTATTAAATTGAAGCCTCAAATCTGAACTCATGAAAACCTTTAGATACCTCCAGGCATTTAAAATTAATACAATGTATCTGAGTCACGGCACCAAAAAAAAAAAAATTAATATAACGTTAACAAGGATATAAATTGTGTGACCTAGCAATCTTTGCAAAAGAGCTCTGAGACAGAGAAAAACACCATGGCCACTGCCTAAGCCCTGAGTGCTAGTGACGCCTGCCCTTCTAGTGTCCGACCAAGGAAACGTAAGCACAGGGGAGTCTGAGGTCTGCTGCTGGGTCATAATCACATGGGATGATGTTTCTCAACTTGATGGATTTGGGGTCAGTGAGACACAGGACAGCAGTCCGTTTTTCCTGAAGCCGGTGGCACAGCTAACCTGTGGGAACCCTGAGCATATAGGTTAGAGGGCAGCCTACCCCCATGGCCAATTATAAACACGCCCCTGGAGAGAGCAAAAAGGCAATGGGCAGGCTGGTCCTGCACAATCTGTTGTGTATGCCCTTGGCCTCTTGAATTTGCCTCTCACACACCGGGCTGCAGGGATTTTCCTGGACACATTCCTTGTGCATTTGAGGGCCTGGTTGGAATGGGCAAGAATGATGAACAGTACTCAAGTTCTCCAACACTCAGGAACTAGCACTGTTAAGCTAGTTAGATCAGCCAGAAGGTAGGGACTCGTTTTGGCTGGTGGCACCCACATCTTCTAGGGGCTACTTGAGTAGTCGTGACATCCCTGAGAATCATCAGTGTTCAAAAGAACCTTAGCCAAACCGTTAAGGTGTACCGAAATCTTTCTCTTATAAAAACGACTTTGCACATTCCATACCCAGTCCCCCTTACTGTGCCTGCCATCTGGCTGGGGGATGTCCCACAGCTTCAGTGAGTCTAGAGTGGGGTGTGACTTAGATGGCATAGCTTGGGCTCTGGAGCAAGATGGGTTTCTGTCTTGTGCCTTATAGCTGTGTGGTTTTGGGTAAATTACTTAGCCTCTCTGAACCCAGTAGAGTCATGAGCTAAACTGAAAATAATAGTGCTTATTCTTGGGAAGGATTGTTGCTGTGGTTATGGTATAATGGTCTGGAGTCAGACTATACAGGTTGATTGCCGATCCCACGTCTCACCAGCTGTTTGACCCTGGCCCTTCACCAAATCTCATTTATCTTCAGCTATTTCATCTGCAAGATGGGGATAGGAATAGTCCCTTCCTCACATGGTTGTAGTAAGGATTCAATGAGATAATAGGTATGAGGCACTTGTCACATAGAAAATGCTCAAAAAATGACAACTATTTTTAGACCGTATGCATTTTAAGCAATGGAGGCTCAACAGACGCAGGCTGAGAGGAAGTCAGGACAGGGGATGCTGAGGACTGCTTACCATGTTGCCGCAGCAGCTGTCTTCAGGCCCAGGCAATCCTGGAGGCACGTCGGGCCCCAGAACGTCCTGTCAGTCCCTTTGTTCAGGCAAATCCCCAGCATCTCCGGAAGCCCGTCTTGTAGAGGTCCAGGTGTCCACAGGGAAATCAGCAGCTTATCACTGGCCTCCAGGCAAGGAGCTAGCCGTTGGTCCCTTCACCGCAGAGGGAACAAAAGGTAAGGCTGTCCCGCGGGTGCGGGTGCGGGTGTGGGACCTGCCATCAGGCTCCCCAGCGGTGCACATCATTAATGCTAAACCCTGGGGGCAGTTCCGTCTGAAACCCTGAGGTGCCAACACAACAAGCACCATTCTGCCAGCCCACGGGGAGCCCCTGGCCTGCAGGGCACCGGGGAAGCAGCCCTCTGCAGTTTGCTGCCCTCCTGTGGGAAAAGGCTTAGAAAACAAGCATGTCCGATCATGCTGGACCCTGGGGCTTATTGTCACTTCCCTCTGAATTTTGCTGCAAATTCAGGAACTCTTGGCTCCCTCTCCCACCGAGTACTCCTCAGTGAGGCTGGCGTCTGACTTTCCACGAGGCATTCTTTCCTAGTTGGCTGAAGTGGAGGCCAGGATTCCTGAACCTGGCAGGCTTTTGAAAGTCATTTATCCTTTCATTTGACATTTCACTGGGGGTCCTCTACCTGTGTAATGGCGCCAGGATGAGCATGGGGGAATATAAAGGCTGAGGGTATCAGCTGTGCTCCAGGTGGCCAGTGAGGCACTTGGCCCAGAGCACCCCTTGAGCCCTGAACTTGTCTTTGAGGATGCCTCTGGGGTTCTGCTGGAAGACTGCCTTTTAGATGAGATTGCCTTTAAGAGGCCTTTTTAGTTCTTTAATTGAACTTCCTTGGATATGATCCAAGAATGGCCTGCCTTGACCAGAACTTGACTCTACAGTGTGAAATTCCCGGGTGCCTTAAAGCCTCACCTTCCCCCCATCCCAGCTCCATTTCAGGCTCCGGTAGCTGTTCTATAGAGGTCTGTGCTCTGAGCAGTGCGATCAGAAGCAAGAAACCCAGCCACTACCGGGTCCAACAAATATTGCCTACAGCAATTCCAACAGACATGCCAGCTTTAGTGTAAAAACAAGAATAAAAATAAATAAATACAATAAAATCAAGGGTTAGGTGAACCCTTTAGGGACAAGACCTATGAAAGTGACTCATGGTCAAGGCAGCATCTCATGAGCCCAACCAATAAGGCCATAGACTGGGGCAGCCCCCTGAAATGAATGCCCTCTTTAAAGTCCAAAGCATCTTGATCTTTAGATCTGCAACACCCAGCACATACAGTAAAATCCCACACAATTTGCTGAAGACTTCTCCCTTCCCAATAGACACTCCAGCACTGTGCCCCGGCCCCACTGGGATCCCTCTCCACTCTTGCCTCCACCTCTTTCTGCACCTCCTCTTAGAAAGCTTCCCTTGCCTCTCCATCTATTAAGCCTTTTTTTTTTGTTGTCTTCTCTGTTCCCTCCCAAATTACCTGCCCCACCCCTCCATCGAGAGACCTATAACTTGGAGAGACTGGTAACCCCCCCTCCCCACCCCGTCTTCCTCTCTGAAATCAAGGCTTTGCTTATTTTCAAAAGCTGGCCTCCCTATGTGCTGCTCCTATGAGGAAGGAACATGTGGTCAGGAGGGAAAAAAAGGCTCTGGGATAGGTGATTTCCATAATTATGCTTCCCAACACTTTGCCACCATTCAGCTGACAGTCTTCTTTCTCCCTGCCAACTGGGCTTGCTCTGGCTCTCATGGACCCCCTCCACTCAGCCCCAGCCCTGCTTTTTCAAACCCATCAGCACTCTCACATTTCACAATAAGTAAATGGTTTTTTTAAAAAAAATCTCCATTTTCTTTCTCATGCAGCAGATGGCAGGGCTCAGGAACTTGGTGGAAATTAGGCTTTCTGATTTTCTAATAAATTTCAGCATCTCACACAAAAAGCAGGACCTCATTTTGATTCTGATGTTCAGTACCATATGGCATATCACTTTGGGCTGTGGCAGCTTCATCCTCAGGGTAACAAGGCAGAGGGATCTTTCATAGAACAACAAGACTGCGCTGGTATGGGCCAATTGGATTCCTTGGTGAATACCATTTGATAATAACATTGTCTATGGCAATGGAGTAATTATCCCTCTTTTATGGTATGTGTTAATTTTCGCTGCCAGTTTTCCTAATTACAACTGCCCCAAAGGACTACTTTTTATAAATACTCTGTAAACATTTGAAAATACATAGGCAGTGCATGCATGAAGAAAAATGTCCCTGGATTTTAAAACTGCCTGGAAAATCGGCTGACGTTTTATGTTTGTCAATTGCATAGACAGCCTAGTGAGTAACTTGCAGTGTATGGAACATCTAGTCTCTTCTCTCTTCCATGACATACTCGTAGGCCTTCCTTCCTCGCTGGGAGTGCTGCTCTGAGGGGCATTTGTCCATGCACTTTGACAAGTGTCCACACCTGTGTAACTCACACGCTAATAAAGACGTAGAACATGTCCATCACCACAGAGTTCCCTGGTGCCCCTTCTCTGTCAGCCCACTTCTCCCCACTCCTCCCTCCCCCCAACCACCACTGTTCTCATTACTATCTCTATAGTTAGTTTTACTTGCTCTTGAGCTCCGCATAAATTGAATCATTCAGTCTGTTCTCATCTGTGTCTGGCTTCTTAACTTTTAACCCATGTTTGGTGCAAAATTCAAACCTCATTCCCAAAATTAGATGCATCTCTGTAAATATACAGCCTCATTCGATACCTAGCCTATGATACCTGATGAGATCCTAAAGATACCTCTCATCTCCCGTGATCTAGGTCTGATGTGCAGTGAGAAACACAAGCCTTTCACTTTGCAGATGACAAGGGAGAAGGGGGGATACTATAGGGAGGCTGCTACATAAATCTCTACAGTCTGAGGGAAGTCGTGAGAGGGAGAGTGAAAGGAAATAGTATCTGTGAAGAAAATGTTCTCTGATAAAATTAACCACCACATAATTTTTGTTTATTTTTGCGTGCCTTTGACTATAGCTGCCTTACTCTTGGTGGGACTCCTGCAGACCATTTGTTGCTCCCAGTCTACCTCGGGCTTCCTGGCTTCGGAGCTGCCTCAGACTTCCTACCAGGGCCTAAAGCAGAGGGACCTCAAGGTGGGATGTGGCTGAGCTGCTGGGCTCCCAGAAGCCCTCATGGTAAAAATAGGCCCCCCCCCCGGCTCCCCCCCGCCCCCCGTGGGCCTGCCAGGTGTCTGCTGAAATGGTCATTGATTTTGGTTACAGCTTTGTAAACTTCTAACAAAATAAAAATAGTACCGATTCCTTTGGCTAATGAGATTAGCTAGTATACACCTGGCTTGCTGAGAGGGCCTGAGACAGAGAAGAGATAAACTCTAATGTGCATGCATTGGAGAGATTGAGAGAGAGAGAGAGAGAGTTCAATGTCAGTCCAAGGCATAGAGTGTTCTCAGAAAGGCGAGTTCTGCGTGAGACAGCAATGGGAGGCCCTGGATGGAGGCGGAAAGGGGATGCAAGTGAGTTCAACATCACATCACATCACAGATGGCACTGCTGGCCTTGCTTTTCCCCTTGGAGGGACTCCTGTCTCACTGAAAGATGGCTTGGTGTGGGGATGACTTGGCTAAGGGTGGAGCTGTGATTTAGAGCCAGATTTCTTTCAGGCACATTTTCCTATTTGGAACTTTAGCATATGGAAACAAGAGTCACCTATCAGTAAGAATCTTCAGGGGGGATTTTCCAGAACCCAAGGCAGTTTATTTTCTAAATGTTCATAGTAAGTGCTTGCTGTATGCTCACTGTGATAACAGCTCATTTCTACCAAGCCTCTCCAATGTGCCAGGAAGAAAGCACTGAAGGATGAACCTCATGAAACTGCCTCTATTCTGGGTCAAAAACCATTGAATATTGGCAATTTCATTCGATTCAACTCGACATTAACTCATCCTTACCACAAGCATATATGTAAGTCCCATTATCATTAATCCCCTCTAAATACTACAACATTGAGGTCAGAGAAGTTAAGTTAATCTTCCCTAAGGGTCCAAAACTAGTTAGTGTCAGAGCTGGTATTCAAACTCAAGCCCATGTCCTAAACAGCCTCCAATAAAGAATGAAAATGGGGGTAATGACCCCTCTCTTTTTTTTTTCTTGAAGAAGCTGAGGCCTCCTTTGGAGTCAGGTGGTATCCTCAGAAAAATCTCTTTTTCAGGGAAGTCAAACTCTAGCTCATGTGGGCCACCGTTCTGCCACCTGCCATGCTGGTGGGTGACAGTTACTTTGTACACAAAGTTCGTCAGTGTTGTGGGAAAACCCTGAAAAATGGTCTCCTACTGTGAAACTTGGGTCCTATGATTTCAAACCAGAGCCTTCCCCTTAGGACTGACGAAAAAGAAACAGCAAGTGTTGAGGCTTTTCCCAGCTCACCTCCACCCACCGATCCTGAGAGCCCCATGCTCCCTGGCACTGGCAGCTATGCCATTC